ACCTAAGAATATTTTGGAACTTTTCAAAGTCTCCTATGGTCATGTCATTTCCCATGGTTTCCTTTAATATTTTTTCATCTGCTCATTTGCTTTACTATCATTACATCAGTCAGCTATGATGTTACCAATTACCTGATTTTATTCAATGTTTGTCCCCTGGAAAAGGACTATTGTTTCTACTGAGAAATCTTTGAATTACATAAGACAAATTCAACTCGTGTGAGTGGAGTTCTAGGGAGTTGCCCACATAAGTAAAATAATGACAGTTCTCTGGGAATGGGGCCTGTTAGAGAGCTCCAAACATACTATTCCTTCTCCAATGATTTCTATGTTGCTTATTTTCATAGCTACCATGATTACAAAGCTAGCACAAGTTTTTTTCATCTGGTATTCATGATTTTTGTTTGTCTGATTATATATATTTATATATATATACATATATACATACATATACACATACACACACATATGTATCATATAACATATGTAAAATGTATGATGTATATCATATGTATATACACACACAAAATTCCATATGTCCTTTAAGAAGTAAGTAGAATGGAGAAGCAATAGAATAAATAGAAATGAAAATAAACAGAATACTATTACACAGAACTGGGCAAAAGTGTATTCAAAGGTGTATGTTAAAATGGCACAAAATTCACTCTTCTTACCAAGGTCTACCTGTTTCCTCAAACTGATGCAAACCTTTAATTTTCAGTGTTCTGTAAAAGTTAATTTTGACCATTTTTGCCTGTGTCCTTCATTATCTTTAATGGAGGAACAATTTTTCAAACGTCTTTATTAAGGGAGTTTTTTATAAACAATCGACCTACATGTTTCATCATGCCTTCATTTGGCTGTGCTTCTATCGTAAGTTTAGTTTCTGAAGCTTTAGAGGTATTATTCAGATCTTTCCATTGTGTACCACCCATGAACCAATCTGAGATCTTGTGTTGAAATATCAATGTACAACACAATTTTGATGTGGGTCCAGCATTCATTAGCAACCTTGTGGGATTCCATTTTTAAGCTCATACTCCCTGGTCTTCCTCATGTTCTGCATCTCAAAAAATCCTGTTTAATGATTATCACACTAAAAAGGAAGAAGCCCCCTGCCCCCCGCTTTGATACAAACTCTCTGCATCTGGTTCTTGGGGCAAGTGGAAGGAAAATAGGGAGAAAATAAGCAACAGACTTTCCCTCTGTGCTCTTTGGACCATCATTCTTCTAGAAGGAGGATTTTCCTTCCTCAGAGTTTAAGGTAGTTGTGTGCCTGCTGATGTACCACTACTGTAGAACTGCAACACCAAAAATAGGGCTTGATTTCAGGCCAGTTCAGGAGGGGAAAAGTACAAAGGATCTATGCCACTCTCTATACTTTGGGCATCCTCCTTCCTGATTGAGACCAGAAGAGAGTGGGGGCCTCCATTGGACTTCTTTCTGTCTGCACTTAGTATAATTTTAGGATGTAGACTGCATTTGATCCAAGTTAGGACCTATAGAAGTAAAAAAAAAAAAAAAGTAGCTCAATGCTGGTTTGTTTGTTCTTTCAGTTCTGATTTTCTTCCTAATGTTCTTGCTACATTAACTTTTCAGATGCCTCAGACAGCTGATGTACTCAATATATCCATGGATTTCAGTTGCATTCATTGACTGGAGGCCAAGTGGAGTATACTTACTCCATATCAGCAGGAAATAGAACTCTTCAATTTTTGAGACACTGAGAATCATATTGTATTTCTTTTATTATTAAATATATTAAACTTTAAATGCATTCAACCTTCTCATAGAAAAATTGCTTGTGATGAACTTACAAGAAAGGTAGAAACAGCATCTTCAATAACAAATTGATTAAAAAATTCAGAACCTTCCAAAAATGAAAACCTCTTCAATAGAGGAGAATCGAGAACATTTTCAGAGATATTATTTTTTAATTCATAGATTAAAATATGGAATGAAACAGATTCTTCTTCTCTTTTCTAAGTTACAAATAAGCCCATCCTAGATGAGAACATTGAGTTTTTCTGTGAGTTGAAGAACTGGTCAAAAATGTTTAACCTTAAATCTTCTCCCAAATAATCTTAGACATTCAAGAGACATAGGAAAACACCAGTGTAACTCTACAAGTAACTGTAATATTACTATTTAAAGTTTTATATAAAAAATGTTATTTAAAACCTAAATTTCTCATTTGTATATTATAAATACATTATATTCTGGGGAGAAATTCAAATGAGTTTTCATGCAGTAAAGACATAATAACCCAAGTGCAAACAATGCTCAACTTTCTTACACAAGTTTATTTTCAACGAGTATCAAAATTGGTTGGTCTTATCTGAGGGTCAGAGATCTTTTTAAAAATTAGAAGAAATCTAGGTCCATCTGCCCAGAGAAATGCCCACACACTTTTTTTTCATCTAATATCCATGACTTTTGTTCATCTGATTATGAAAATATATTTCATACAACCTGTAAAACATATGTAATCAGATGAACAAAATCATGAATATGCATACACAATATTTTGCACATGTTTTTAGAAGTTTTGCATATTCTCAAATTCTGGATTAAGAACTCTTCACCTAGAAATGAATGATGAATAAATGCATATTTTCAGCCCCCCTCTCCTGAGTCCAGACTTTTATTTTCAATTATCTATGAGAAATGTCACATATGTGTACTGGAGTCACTTCAGATTGAGCTGTCATCCTAAACTTGTCACATTCCTGTTTTCCTTTTCTAAGTTAATGAATTTACCATCCACCTGGTCACCAAAAGTAAAATCCTAGGAGTCATCTCAGAATCTCTTTCTCCTTCACACTTCACTTAAAATCAAAGCTAGCCCCATCCATTCTACCTTCTAAATAGTGCCTACACCTATTCCCTCACCTCCATCCTCACTGCTGAGAACTGAACTGAAGCCCTAGTTATGTTCTACTTCATTTGTTGTAGGGGGCTCTTAAGTTAGTGTCTATTCCATATTTGCCATATCCTTCACATTGTTGTCATTTCTAAAATACGAATTTTTAACATTACACTCCTATTCTGATGCCTAAAGCAGTGATTTGCAGAAAGAAAGTAAATTAAATAAAAATCAGCAGACTCCTGTCTGTTTGTCAAGTGAGATATCTATGGAAACCCTGTATATCAAATAGAAAAAAATGGGATTAAAATTGGGCTGGGGTTGTGGCTCAGTGGTAGAGTGCTCACCTAGCACATGTGAAGCCCTGGGTTCAATCCTCAGTACCACATAAAAATAAATAAATAAAATATAGGTATTGTGTCTAACTACAACTAAAAACTAAATTTAAAAAATTGGTATATAATGTTATTACCTAAACATACCCTATGAAAAGTCTTACCATGCAATGGGAACCTGTTTCAGTTAGTACTTGACAGACTTATTCTAGACTTCTTAGGTATAATTTTTATCAGCAAGGTTGAATTTTCTATAACAGCCAGAGATTCTAATAAACAGGCAAGTTTGCAGAACACTTGGGGTTGAGGAAGGCATCAAGTCCGAAAGATTTTAAGTGATAAAAAAGGGACATTACAAGTTGACCCCAATTAATTTTTCTAACTTACATTTTTCATATAGCATATGTTCCAACCACATCAATACACTCATCATTCCTTTAATTTGCTACACCCATTTTTTTGTCAATATGTCTTTGCACATCAAATTTCCTTTTCCTAGAATGCTTTTCCTTACCTTATCCACCTGTTGTCTGTTTCCTTGAATAACCACAGCAAAAGTCAGATGTTCTGTGAAATGTTTTGTGACTTCTCATTCTAGGACTTATTTAGCACATTATACATCTCAGTATCTGCCAATAACTTGATGACAAGCACTATATCTTATCTCTCTTTGTATCCTCTTTAACACAAAATGCATTATCCCATACATAACAACCACTCAATAAATGTGTTAAATATTGAATGAGAGAATTCATGAATTCATGAATAAATAAATGAATAAATTCATGAATAAGTGAACAACCAAGTTCAGCAAATATCATATTTTAAAAAGAGAGCATAATTATTTGCATAAAGGAAGAAATTGAGCTTACATTAATTTGTATTTTATAACACTTTGCTATATACAATATGATGAAGGTATGGGTATAAGTCAATATTAATGTATAATCCAGGCACAGTTAGTTAACATGTGAAGTATCCGAGATCCACATTTCTGTGATGGGTAGTTATTATTCCAACAATATGCTTCAAATTCTTCAAATTTTTGGTTCTTTTTTTTTCATGATCTGTGATTGTTTTTAATTATCTTAAATCTTATGGTAACATATTTTAGAAATTTGTACTGATAGGTATATCTCTTTTACCTTAATCTTTCCATCTAATAAGTTGGCAAAAAGCACCACTACCAACCATCAAGATGTTCCATAGTATTGTTTCTGAATAGTTGTTTAAAAACAAACCTGAATGATAACTTAGTCTTACAAAATAAAGAATTAAAAAGTAAAGTCTAACTTGTTATTGTCTTATGCTGACTTAAAAGCATCTGAACTTATAGATCAATTATAAAATGTGAGAAGTGTTAAATATTCTTTATTTAATATCATATATAAACCACACTAAAATGCCTTTCCATAAGGAAAGAACAGCATTTTAGATACAGGGAATTCTAATTAAATTGACATGGTCAACAAAAATATATAGTAGACACTGCTTCCTTATCTTCAACCACTGCCTTTAATAGGCTAGTGAACACAAATTGAAACAAATGTGAATCATGCTTGGTTCTGAGTGAAGGGATTTCCCCCATATTTAAACATATTTACATAATTAGTTCTATAAGCCTAAATATAAAACCAGTTTTCAGATGTCATTCACCATTTTTGTGAAATACTGAGCATTACTAATTAAGTCCAACCATAACTTTAAAAAGGGGAAACAGTGATAGAATTTACTGAAGTAGGAATATAACCAAAATATTAATTTAACTACAAGTCAGTTTTACTTAAATCAGGATTGTCCAACAAAAATAATTTTGTCAGTCATTCATGATCTGATTTCTGGTGTATCACATCAATTAAATTATGGTGCACATAAAAAAGCCAAGAGACATTTCTGTTTGGTAATAAATAAGGCAGTAGCTATTACTCATTAGTGGCTTTTTTGAGGTAAGCTATTAGGTCTGCCCTTTCTCCCTTCTTCTTAATGCCAGCAAAGATCATTTTTGTTCCAGAGATGTACTTTTTGGGATTCTCCAAATACTCCATCAGTGTATCCGCTCCCCATGTGCTGCCTTTGTTCTTATTGGCATCTGTATAAGAGAATTCAGCAGCCTGACCTGTCTTTGGCCCAAACAGTCTGTGGAGATTTGGCCCAGTCTTGCGCTTGCCTCCCTTTTCCACGGTGTGGCACTGGGCACACTTCTGAACAAAAATCTTTTTGCCTTTCTCAACATCACCTATTTTTTTTTCACCTGTAGTTGGACACAATATCTTTATTTATTTTTATGTGGTGCTGGGGATCCAACACATTGCCTCACACATGTGAGGCGGTCGCTGTACCACTAAGCCACAAACCCAGCCCCAATATCACCCATTTTTAATTCATTCTTTCATCAGTAGCGCAAAGAAGGTTCCCTATCAGAAGCTGGATGTCCCACTCTGTAGCCCAAGGACATGCCAGTCTGCGCCTATGAAAATTTTTGGTTCTAAACATACAAAATAGGGGTTTTAAATTAGAGTAAGAAACAATACTTCACTTGTAAATTTAGAATAGTTCAAATTTTATGGTTGGCTAGAAAGTTGTACGGGAAACTTCACCCTTGTATACAGGGATCTGGTAAGCCCAGCCAACTAACAGCTTCAAAGAAACTCCAGATTCAAGATACTGTTGGGACTGATGCCAACCCTCCACCCCCAGCCTCCATTCTTAATATGGGAATCGGCTGTCTGTTGTAATTATAAGAGTTGCTGATCCTGCCATCAGAATGTTGGTGCACCCATTTCCAAATGAAATGTTCATGCAAAGTGCCAAGGATAGATGATGAATTCAAAGAACATAGAAGAACAGGTTGTATGACATTTTTTGCCTGATCGTTAATGTTTTAAATGTGGCGGAATGCAGCCGGAGACTTGCTTTCGTTGTAATATACCATCTGGTATATATACAAGCAGAATGCATATAGTTCCTACCTATATTTTTCTTCCACAACTTTTTATTTTAAAAAGTTTCAAACCTACACAAAATGTAATGAACTACCATGTACCTGTTACCTAGATCTACTAATTATTAATATAAAAAGACACATATAAAAAAGTAAATGGTCTTTCTTCTCCTACTATATGTATTTAGTGCTTATTTTTAAATTTTTTTTTAGAATTTAATTAGTTATACATGACAGTAGAATGCACTTTGATACATGATATATAATGGAGTATAATTTCTCATTCTTTTGGTTGTACATGATGTAGAATCAAACCAGTCATATAGTTATATATACATAGGGTAATAATGTCTGATTCATTCTACTATCCTTCCTACCCTAATCCCCCTGCCCTCCCTTCACTTCCCTCTGTCTAATCTTCAGTAGCTCTATTTTTCCCTAGTCCCCCTACCCACCCCCCCAACCCCATTGTGAATTAGCATCTGCATATCAGAGAAAACATTCGACCTTTGGTTTTTTGAGATGGGCTTATTTCACTTAGCATGATGTTCTTCAGCACCGTCCATTTACCAGAAAATGCCATAAATTCATTCTTCTTTAAGGCTGAGTATAACTCGTATATTTCATTACAATACACTCCTATATTCTTTACTGTAAATGTTGTAGGAAAAAGATATCCTCATACAACTTAGCAATACACTTAACACATTCAAAAACTTTAACAATGATGTGATACAATTATCTAATATACACTCCATTACCCATATTTTTCTTCAATTGTCCCATTAATGTTATTTATAGATTTTCACTTCCTTATCCAGAGTTCAATCAAAGACCTCAAATTACTTGTCTTTCTCATACCTGTTCGGCCTCTTTAATCTAGAATAGCTCTCCAGCCATTTTCTCTTTTTATTTGTTTTTCATGAAACTTGACATTTTTGAGAAAGCTAGGCCAGCTGTTTTGTGTAATGGCTATAAATTTGGGCAAGTCTGATTGATCTTTATAATTGGATTTAGGTTAAACATCTGTGACAAAAATGTCACATAAATTATGTTTTATTTGGTTAATGTGGTACTTAACAGATTTCTATTGTAAAAGGCAACTTTCTCCTTTGTAATTAGTAAATTGTAGGTCAATCGATACTTTTAGACTATGTGAATGTCTTGTTTCTAAACCTTTGTCCATTGATGATTTTTTTATATCCTTGGTTGAATTAATTATTATTATGGTATTTGTAAAATGCTGGTTTTCCATCAATTTTTTTCATTAAATAGAATTTTCTATAAAGAGCTTCACATACACCTTTTTAATATTACCATGTACTCATGGGTTATGTTTTATTCAATGTGTTTTAACCCACTGCTGCTATTATTATTATTATTATTATTATTATTATTATTATTATGATTGAACCCAGGACCCTGTGCATGCAAGGCAAGCACTCTACCAACTGAGCTATCTCCACAGCATGCTATCATTATTATTTTTTTTAAAGAGAGAGAGAAT